TATTTCAACAGTAAAACCTTAGTTACTAGTCTAGTAGTGCATTTAAGTTCATTCAGGCGAGGCAACAAGGGGGGAATACTTATCAGAACATTTGCCATGACAATATTTGTAGAAAAGACAGAGAGACACCACAGCGGTGGGAAAGTGAGATGGCAGGTCATGATCCAATAGATTACAGACCCTTCTTTGGATTTTGTCAAGATAATCTTGAGGCATCTAGTAGGAGCACGAGACCTTGTGATTTGTGCACGAAATTTAAGAAAGAAATTACTTTGAGAAGCACTTTGTTACCATGCAATTAGGCACACAGACATGCACACAGGAGTTTTGCGTAAAATATTAGAGAGTTCGATTCTCAGTGATCACCCAATTATTAGGGCTCTGTAAAGGCGTAGGCTAAATTTAGTCGATGTAAACGGTAGAATAATGGATAGCGGTTCGGAGTGAGGAATTGGAGAGCCGAGTTCGAATTCAAGTCAAATCCATTATATTCACTTACGTGTTAATACCCTTGAGAAATGTATGAATCCTCTTCTCCCCCCCCCAGCTATGGGTAAATAGCAGGACTGACCGGGTTCTATAGCTTTGGATGGCAACCTACTGCGGAAAAAATCTGGCTCGTCAATCTGAAACCGTAACTTCTATGCTAACAGTTTCTTTTTTCGCACTTCTCGCTTGTGGAAATCTCTCCCGGCTTCTTGCTTTCAAGTCAGGTTTGATCTTCAAAAATGTAAATGCGATGTTAATCGTTTTCTTCTGTCTTCTTAAATTCTGTTCTTTTATTGTTCTCGCTCCTTAATAATGTTTTTCTTATATTCTTTCACACCCATTCCCCCACCCAACGTATCTTTGTTGTCTTGCTTGGGGTGAAATAATTAAAAAAAATATAGTCGTGTATTTGGGTAAAAATCCCTATTTAATACATGTTTCGTTGAACAAGACTGTTAAGGTACTTCTGTTTAGATTTTATTATTATGTTTTTCTTGTGTGCATACAAGTGTCTTTTCTGAACTTAATGTAAAAGAGTGGTAAACGATAAAAACAAAACAAGGGGCAAGTATTCTCGGATGAAGTTTGTTCGAGAAACCGAATAATTTTTTTAAAGAAAGCTCTTTAACCGGAAGAGATGAAAATTGAATTTTTTGGTCCCAACCCAGCTCATCATGTCGGGTTGATGTTGTTTAGCGGCATATCAACCTCTATGGGTTATTTAATACCGAAATGTAAATATTTTTAACACAATCTTATCATTTCGACTACAGATAAAATGTATTGTTGATAATTCTGCTATAAATAGGTATTGTTGGTATTTTTTTTATATATAAAAATGTATTGATAGTATTTTTACTATAAAAATGTTTTTTCATACTTTCATAGTCTTGTTTTTCTTTGTGAGTTCGCTATCTGCCCATAGCTGAGACCCTAACAGGTGCTACCACTCCGAGTCAGGGTGGACCTAGGTATAACATTAATTAAGAGGTGGCTCCACGCTCCTCAAAAGCTCCGATCTCCCGATCAGAGGCCTTTCTGTCGGATGTTGTTTATCATCATACCAAGGGCTATATCGTGTATAGAAATGTCATGATTTTGAGGGATATTTCTACTTTTATGTGGACCTAGGAATCATTAATGGAGAAAGTTATCTATTTTGGAGGCTAATTTGTTCTCTTCGGTGTAACTATTGGAGCTAGAAGAGTAATGGGTAATGTAGGTTGCAATCAAAAATAAAGAATAAATAAAATAAAGAATGAATAAAATAAAATAAACCCTTTTCCCATCATGCAAAATAAAAAAATAAAACAGGAAACGGAAAGGCTTTAACTATCTGACCTCGATCCCAGAATTCCAAAACGAGGCTCTTCCTCTTTTCATCGCTTGCTTTGATTGGGATCGGATGTCCGCTCATGACTCTATTAACCTTAACTTTGACATGAAATCAAGACTTTAAAAAATCCTGCATACTCACAGTTACTACGCTCAAATCAGAGTACCCATCTTCCCTACTTGCATATTATAGATAGTAGTCAAAGGAGAATTCGATTTTACTTTGTGAATTCCATCTCAACGAAGAACTAAAATTTTTGTTTGTATTTGTCAGCTATGGACATAGACTTACAGAATTATTTTAAAACAGCTACAAACCAAGTGATTGACCTGAAGTATAAAGCTAAAAGTAACTCGAGAATGGTTTATCCGTAATAAAATAGAGTTGTTTCAGTGGTTTAGTTAATCCACTGACTTAAATCCAATTGAAAATTCATGGTGACGCTTTAAGGATTGCATCTATTCGTGAAACCGAAAAAATTGTTAATGATTTAAAGGCAGCTTGCAAGGGTCAAGAGTGGGGCTAAATTTCAAAGTAATGCTGAGAAAGGTTAAGAAAAAAATATCACGGGCAGTAATTACAAAACGGGTCACTTCAGCTGAGATATGAAATCAATATGTTCAAATAATTTTTTCCAGTTTTATTTTTCATATTTTATTTTGATCTCTTTTTTTCTTATTTATATCAAAATACAGGGTGTCCATGAAATCTCTTTACAATTAAAAAAATATTACAAAGGCAACTGATGTGGCGCCACAACTAGATGATCTTAAACCAATCATCATTTTCCAGTAATATGGTGCATCACCACATTGGGTACTGCATGTTGGTGGGTTCCTAAATCAAACATTTCCAGACCGGTGGATGTCCCAATTCCCTGGCCACGTTCACCAGATATCACTCCCTTGGACTTCTTTCTATGGGGTTATGTTAAAGATATCGTGTATCGAACAAAGATACGGGACAACACTGATCTAAAGCAAAAGATCATTAATGTCAATGCCACCATTGATGAAGCTATGCTACAGCGAATATGGCAAGAAATCAAGTATCGTTTTCATCTGCTTCGGACAGCTAATGGTGGCATATGGAAATGTATTAAATTAGTTAAAAAATCAATATCTATCTTCATTTTTGTAACAATTTCCAAATATTTATTTGTTCATTTTCTTTTGTAATAAATCTTTTAAATTGTAAAGAGACTTTATGGATACCCTGCATATCACCTGTGTGAATTTTTGGTAAATGTAAACATCGGCACTATATTAAATTAATATTTTGAATTGCGTGGGTAAGTATTGACATACCAGCAATTATATTGATAGTAATACATATTAACAGATACAGTAGCTTATTATTATATTACCTATATCTGAGATTGTTTTGTTGACCTCGCAGCTGCAAATGAACAAATCAATTGTGACATCTTCTTCTCTTCCATTAGAAACCATCTTCTATGCTCTGATTCCTCTGAATGCATCCAACTATTAGAGGAAATATATTGGTCGATAATATCATGCGTTTCTGGCGAGGACCACAATACAGAAATATTTCAAACCACATTAGGAGTACGACAAGGAAGAAAGGAGAACCAAAGTCTATTTAATCTTTTCCCGGACTTTTCCCTGCGCATTTACAAACACAGCTGTGAAGAGATAGGCACTGACTATTTAAGTATTCTATGCCACATCCCAAACGAATCTAATAATAGTAGACAGCAATCCTGCTTTCCTCCCAACGCCAATGTACTGATGATGAGGGAGGATATGCTGAAGACATAGCTATTCGTAGTTGGGATGAAAATATTCTTGAACAAAAAAAAAAAAAAAAAAAAAAAATCAATGTCTTCTACCGAGTGATCAAAGACATAGGACTCAAGATAAACTTTTCCAAAACAGAAATTATGTTTGTTTGTTTTGTTTTACGGCATATCAATCTCAGTGGGTCATTTAATGCCGACAACTTTTTTCCTGGTAATATTTTTTGTTTTGTTTTGTTTTGTCAAAAATCTATTTCTGGTAATATTTTTTCCTCAAAATTGTATATATTATTTTCAAAAACGTATTGCTGCTAATATTTGCTTTTTTTTTTCTTCCAAAAACCTATTGCTGGTAATATTTTTTTTAAAAGCGTATTGCTTCTGGTAATAGTTATTTTCAATTTCAGGGTTAACTATTTGCCCATAGCTGGGACCACAACAGGTGCTACCACCCCGGGTCAGGATGGACCTGGGAACACCAGCAATTAAAAGGTGGTTCCACGAGCCTCAATACCTCCTGATCAGAGGCTCTGCTGTTGGACAGAGTTTATCATCTTACCCAGGACGCGGATGAAGTTTATCGTCATACCCAGGACGGAGAAATTATGATCTAGAACTGGAATGAAAGCAGTGATGGCACCTACCCTGAATGCATCATAAAAATTCAGAATTGCATTTAGTAAATACCAAACTCTTCAAATACCTCGGTGTTATAACAAATTCAGCATAGGAAATAAGGAAATTAGCTTAGAATAGGTTGTGCTAAGAAAGTTTCACCCAACACCTCAAGTTCATACAAGACTTAAAATAAAATCATATTCTTAAATAGTATTGTCATGTCGAGAGACTCATGTGGATGTCACGCGTAGCGTCAGACTCGTTTAGAAATATCTAAATTGTTATCTCTATACGACCGCTTTCTCAGATCAGTGTTCCTCAGTGGGGACCATCCTTCTTCGATCCTCGTGGACTGGTGCTATAGAATCACAAACAAAGAGCTGTATCAGATAACAGAATCCTTCTCACTTGAGGACTGTTGTGGCCTTGTTAGTGTCATAAATAAAGATACAAAGAGGAATTTAGTTAAATATATTAACAGAAACAGTAATACAAACATACAAATGAGAGTGTTACAGCAAGAATGTTCGGTCCGACTGTCAGAGCTGACTGCTGGAAATTTCCCTCTCCAAAAGGCAGTACCTGCTCCTATTTGTAGCTGGGAAAGTACATGCGTGCGTGGGTAAATTACCATAGCAAGGACTTTCAACAACGGAAACAACTAAAAAGAATAGCACTTGCATCTCGAAGATAAAATAATGGCATAATCACACTACTTCAAACAAAATGTTGGGAAATTCCCATCAATAGTGGAAAGAGCGATATCAGGCAGTAAACTGTAGAAGTAGGTGGGGGCAAATGGTGCGACGGCCCTGGTCACCCATATTGAGAGGTCAATCAAAGAGTGAAATAAAAATTTAGTTTATACTTAATTTGAATAAAGTTTTTATTTCATGTTTCATCTGTTTTTACATATTTAAAATGGCTTCCTTTCTTACATTTCTCAGTACTAGGCATTCACACAACTTGAGTCTTAGGGGCACAAAAGCAAAGAGTTGCCCCCCCCCCGGTATAACAGGTACTGGACTTGAGAAACTTATTTTCCAATGAAATTGCTTTAAAAGGAAAACTTTATAAATTTCCAGCGACAGTAGTACTGGCTGCTTGATCAATGAATGTCGAATGTTTCCACATAAGGGAAAGGCTAATACTACTTGCAATTACCATAGGCCTGAATATACATATCACATCTGCTCGTTGATGTCCACCCTGTAAATCAGACATTAGAATTTTTGCAAGTAATATTCTATTACCCATAGGCTATTTCTTTGCAGACTCATATATACAAGCGTGGATTGTAATTTTATTGATATTAGACAATTGTACCACGTAAAATATTTGAGAAGGCATTCACAATGACAAACGCATCATTTTCATCATTTTTACAATTAGGAATAGATTGCCAATGAAAAACTTAAGTATTTTTTGTTTCTAAACAAGAAGCCGAAATAGTATTATTTGGTCACCAATTACTTTCTCTTTCACAGACTGTTCACATCTGTTTGTCTATTTGAACTCTGAAATTTTATTCGTTAATTAAATCTTGACCCTTTCAAGTCTAGAATTAGTAGTCTATCTTACCGGTTACCTTGCCCTTTCTTACGCTAATAAAACTCCACACAGTAATCCTCTACTTTGGGTGGTTGTTGGGCCTTGTATTTGGTGAAAAGTAGTAAAAAAATCTATCTATCTATCTATCTATCTATCTATCTATCTATCTATCTCATTATGTTCATTATCTATCTATCTATCTATCTATCTATGCTTGTTATCCTTCTGATTGGGTGGTTAGAACTTTCTTTTCAGACAATGTATCCGGTTTCGAAACTGCATGGTCAATTTGTCAGTGATGTCACATTCACTTACACGCAAATGCCGTTGAGAAAGGTATGAATCCATCTCTGAACCTCAGATATGGGTTAAATAGTAACACTTGTATTGAAAAAAATCATTGCTATTCCCTAAAAAATGTGAATGCAATATCCCCCTTTTTTTTAAAAAAAAAAAGAATTATATCTACAATCCAAAATATTTTTCAGCTTTAAATAGACCCATAAAGGGTTAATAAGTCGTTAAAAAATCAATTAATATTCTTGGCAGTTCCTTTTCAAATTTCTCTCTATCATTATCTGTTCATATCTATTTGTGTGAGTGATTTACAATCGTTATCAGTGGCCATTACAAGTTGAGCATCCTTTATCCGAAATTTCAAGATCCGAAAAAACTTCGAAAATCCGGAAGTTTTTCAGTTATTGACATAAATTGCCACAAAGGGAAAATTACAGAAAGCACCAGGAAGGTTGTCTAGGTGATGTGCAGCTGTTGTAAGTGACCACATTTGCCGTGGGTGGGGCTTCCCCAGCACATCTACGTAGCCTACGTTGGTGACAGTTTTGTGTTAGCGGTCGTCACAGCAACACTATCGTTTGTAGATTGCTTACCAGGTGTTTCATGCTCAATAAAGATATTATTCAAAATGTCAAAAAGTCCTACATTTATATATTTTTTGTAAGTAGTGATCATGTTGTTTTGTTTTAACTTAATTTCACCACTTAAAAATCCATGTGAGAATTACATGACTAGCGCCATTACCTGTATCTGTATGTACACAAAATTTATTAAAGTTTATATAAAACTACTTTTAGGGTGTAATGTTATTTATATTAAACTACTTTCAGGATATGTATATGAGCAGTGTTATGAAATGTAAAGGGACATCATGTTTATGATTGGGTTCTGTTCCCAAGCTGCCCTAATTTTTAGATGCCATATACAAATTAAATAGTCTGTATTCCAATATCCGAACAAATCTGAAAAATGAAGCACTTCCGGTCCCAAGAATTTCGGATAAAAGATTCTTAGCCTGTAATGACAAAATCTATTTTGTCTCATCATTTTTTTAGCATGTTCATTAATTAAACTGAAGCAGTAATGCTCTGAAAAAATAATTAGAAGAAGCCATTTTTACCCTTTGACCCAACCGAAACGAAAATATTTACCCTTATCACTTATCGAAAGGAAGCTTCCATGTCCTTGTATTTCAATCTTGATTGTCTTTTTTTTTAATAATTGCACAACAAACAGACGTAGAGAATGAATGGATTTATGCTGCCAGAATTTTAGCGATTTTTATTAACTGCCTTACAAATACAAAATATTGATCAGTAGGAAAATATGCACTTTGACCTTCTTTAAAATAGCTTTTCTATTTATTAGCAAATATACTTATCAGAAGTCGAACATCAGGACCCAATCAATAAATCTGTGCGATAACTTTATAAATCTAACTGCAGATGCTCTTAGAATAGATATTTCTTGGATCCTATTCAAAGAGCATCCAGTAAGAAATCAACGTTTTTTTAAACTAAAATTCACACATTACAAGGCTCGAGAGTCACTCAGAGTAGAGGTCAACTGTTAAATGATGAGGTGTATAGTATGAACGAAAGATAAAGATAGTAAGTTAAGACTACGATGGTAAGGAAGATAGATAATAATGATTGACTCTTGAAGAGGTCAATATTGTGGTGTTCAGGGAAGCACTCACAGAGGAGTCTGTTCTACGAAGTGGTAGTTCTTTCTCTGGAAATAGATTTCCGTTCAATTCACGCTGAAAACATTGGTTCTCGTTTGATTAGCGAAATTAAGCAGTGACGAGTTCGTTCAGTAACTAGATGGGGGCCCGCTTGGTAGCACCGGGTAAACTAAACAACTTCCTATAACCTGAAATATGATTCGGCTTTAAAGCGTTGATAAGCCTTAAAAAACAAAAACAAAACAAATCAAACAAGCTTTGGAAATAGCTGAGTTGAATTGCCTTCTTACATTTGGAATTCGAGGGAAATGAGTGTGATTCGACTCCGCGGAAATAGCATGACGTGTTCTAGCTGTAAAGATTTGAACTACATGATATTAAAAAAGCACCTAAGGAGGAATCAACTTAAAACTAAAATTTATCCAATACAAGAATCGAAGGTAGAGGGCTAGCCTTAAAATTATAATAATGAATGAAGTGTTTAATATGAATAAAAGAGGCAGAGGTACGAAATAAATATTTTAAAGAGAAGGGCGATAGATAATGGCTAACCCTAGTCTTCAAGGGCTTAATTGCAGTGTTTAGGGCAGTCATGAAGCAAACTGCTGCCCGAGGAGCATTTTCGCTCCAACTGGCTTTTTGAAAAGCACGCCAAGTTTCATGAGAAAAATAACGTTTATTTTATTAAAATGTTGTTTGTTTCCTTTTGTTCTCACTTGTTCACTCACACATTCTCGTGCATAACAACATATATAAACAATGATTAAGTACAATGTTTCCTTTTGTTGGAGATAACGTTGTCAGAATTTTTAAACCATTGGCTATTTTCATTAAGGAAGATCATACGTGTAAACATATTTTGCTTCAAAGATAATTATTATTTAATTTAGAGAATAAATATTTTTGCCTATTCAAATGAATAAATGAGAAATAAATCACACGAAGCAGCGTGTGTTAATCATTCTGACATCAGTGATAAGGTTATGCCAAGACTTCAGAATCTTTTCTCAAAATAAAATTGACTTTTCCTCCTTTCTAAGGTGGGTTCTTATGCGTATAAACATTTGTTGAGAAAATGGCCGCAGTATCTTCAATGATAAATTACCTTGATTTTTTTTTTTAATAATGCAGCCCGCCTTATGATGTACTGTATCTCAAACGGCCAACCTTTTGAAAAAGCCTGCTCATGCCTGCTATAGGAAAGCGAGAGTTTTGTGGCGGGGGTGGGGGGAGTTGTTTGAGTTGAACTTTTTCTTACATCTAGAACACAGTGGAAATGAGGGTGATTCGACTACGTGGAAGTGGCATATTATGTCAGATCTTTAATGACCTGAACTGAACTGGTGGAACTAAAAAATGCAGCTGGTATGAACATTTGCCATGGAAATAGTGATAGAGAATCGACGCGCTTGCAACATTGCATCTGTGGGAAAAGAGGCTGCAGACTGGAGAATTAGTCATCCCTTCCAAGACTGCGGAAACGATTTTGAACTGAAGCGTGTTGAAATCCTTACAGTATTGTTGAAGTTATCACTAACAATTTTTTTGTCGAGATTTGCGAAGTCCACGTTTCGTTCAATTTCGCAAACCAATCGATGAAATTTGTATAAACTGATTTGTTTTGGAAAAATACTTTGACAAAACCCTACTTCGCGATTTAATAATTTCCTTAATTTAATTTTATAGGAATTCATGGTAAATAATATTTTTAAGAAAAATTCTTTTTTTTTTTCCTTTTTAACAGCGACGAATAAATTCTTAGGATTTCTTACCCTTGAGCATTCAACATACAATTGGCTATGCTTAAATATTCTTTCTGGAGCCAAATTTCAACTTTTTGAAGCGTTTGGCCTTGTGATTTGTTTATAGTCCCCGCAAACGCAGGGTGAACTAGAAACTAGTTTCTTTTAAATAAAAACTTAAAAAAATTATATGCAAAAAACAAAACAAAAAAAAAAAAAAAAAAACTAAACAATATTGCATTTTTATTAAATAGATATTTGTTATTTTAATCATTAAATTGTTTTTAAAATAGTAGGAGTATTTTGTATGTCAAATAATAAATTTTTTTAATTTTTCCCAAAAAATTAATGAACATTTATTGTACTAAGCTACGCCCCCAACTGTACTTTGTACCTCCTTACCTGTTTGCACTTCTCCCTAAAATTTGGCTTCGATTGGTTAATGTATGGCTATTTTAGAGGGTATGACGGACAGACGGACTAACAGAAGTCACAGAATTTCATATATTTATGACCTGAAAAGTGCCGACTTGATATCATCACCTCTTCTTCTTTAGTTTTATGCTCTAACCATACAGCTGAATGTGCTAGTCTCATCCCTTACCCTATTTTCGTTGTTCCACTTAACTTAAATTTCAAGGTTATATAACACATGCAGAACTGTATATGGACGATTCGCATCCTTCACAAAGGCAGTGTTTAATCATAGGAATGGACAACTGCATTGGATAAACTTGAAAAAAAACATCTTAATAAAATGAAGAGAAGGAAAATATTTAAAGAAGTTTATATAAGCAATTTCTAAACGTCTGGAGTTTGAATAATAAAGTATCTAGCATGAAGCATAAACTTTCACGGTGTGGTAATTTTGAAGAAGACTTAAAAGAAATTACGAATCAAGTACCGTTCTCCTGCCTTGACAGACTTCAAAACCAGTTACGCAGGCTTGTGGAGAATGACTTATTTACAACTGTACAGTTCCTTTCACACAGGCACCATTCTACAACCCCTTCCCCTCACAGACACAATTTTACAGTATCTTCCTCAACAAACAAGTCTACAGCCACTTCCCCAACATACGTCATTCTATAGGCCCTTTCCCCCCAACAGGCACCATTCTACATTCCCCTCCCCCACAGCAGACTCCATTTTACAACCCTTTCCTCCACAGGCATCATTCTACAGCCTCAACCGCTACAGACACCATTTTACAGCACCTCCCCCACAGACACCGTTCTACAGTCCCTTCTTCCACAGACACAATTTTGAAACTCCTTTACCCTTACGGACAGTATTCTACAGCCCCTTCCCACAACAGCCACCATTCTGCTGTTCCCAATCCCTTCCCCACAGGTACCATTCTACAGTTCCTTACTCCACAGACATTATTTTACTGCCTCTTCCCCACAGAACCAATTTTATAAACCATTCCCCCCAGACATCATTCTATAACCCATTCCCCACACAGACACTATAGTCTATAGATCTATAGTCCCTTCCCCTACAGATACCATTCTACAGCACTCCCCAACAGGCACCATTCTACAAACAATTTTACATCTACTTTACCCCTACAGATACCATTCTACAGCTCCCTCTCCCTAACAGACACTATTCTGCAGTCTTTTCCTCCGCATACACCATTTTACAGCTCCTACAGAAAATTAATGAAGGGAAGCGAGAAGAGAAGATAAAACGTTAACTGCAAGAAAACAGAATGCAGGGTTGTTAGCAAAAGAAACGGACAAACGTACAAATTACAAAATGGAGACGTCAAAATCAAACAAGTACAACAATTTAAACGTCTGGGAAGTGTTTTAACAGAGGATGGAAAGTGTGATACTAAAACCTTAAGAAGCATTGGGATAGCGAAAGATGCCTTCTAAAAGATAAGCATAATATTAAGAAACAGAAATATTTCGTTAGAAACAAAGACTACTGAACTGTTACGGAATATCAATCCTTCCATATGGCATTGAATACTGGAAAATCTTCTTACATATGAAGAAGGGACTTGAAGCAACATAAATTTCATTCTACATGTTTTGATGCTGAGAATGTTATGGACCGAACATGTGAGCAACGGCGAGATTTTAGAGAAAATGGAAACAAAAAGGAAACTTATATCTAACATCAGCAAGAGACAGTTGAAATTGCTAGGGTACATAATAAGGAAAGTAGGCTTGGAAAGTTTAATACTCACAGGACATTGAAAGCAAGAGAGACAAAGGAAGCAACACATAATTTACTTAGCGAGCTTGATTAAATGGATGGCAGAGCAAGGTTTAGGAGAGATAACAAAAAGACAAAATTTATTAAGAATTACAAACGAGAAAGAATTATGGAGAGCCATGATCGCTCACATCCTGAAAAGACACGACACATGGTTCTTCCCCGTGGAGGCTTCCCAGAACTACAATCTCAACGTCTTCAAGTTTAGGGGCAACCGTTATCTATCCCCCATATCCTCATAATATTCACTGCTTATTTCCTCCTCTTAACTTCATATCACACGCATTTAGTAACCTTCAACGAGGCTATGCGATAGGTAGGGTCTGAAAATCAGTTTTTTTCTGTGTAAATCATTTTCTGGACAGATGGAAAACCTTACGATACCCTACCCCCAATATATACTACGTATATCATATATAGAAATTTTCGAAACCCTACCCCCAATATATACTACATATAGCATATACAGAAATTTTCAGCACCCTACCCCCAATATATACTACATATAGCATATACTGAAATTTTCAACACCCTACCCCTAATATATACTACGTATATCATATACAGAAATTTTCAGCACTCTACCCCCAATATATACTATGTATATCATATACAGAAATTTTCGGAACCCGACCCACAATATATACTACATATATCATATACAGAAATTTTCAGCACCCTACCCCCAATATATACTATGTATATCATATACAGAAGTTTTCGGAACCCTACCCCCAATATATACTACATATATCATATACAGAATTTTTTAGCACCCTACCGCCAATATATATACTACGTATATCATATACAGAAATTTTCAGCATCCTACCCCCAATATATACTACATATATCATATACAAAAATTTCTGTCTCACACCTACAACCATTTTTATGCTTCCATATTAAAAAAAAAACTATCTCTCTCAAATATGCAAAAATTTGTTTCATGATATTTTTTCTAAAAGCACACACTATCTCACACTTATTCTCCATGCACCCCCCACTCTCTCTCTCTCTCTTTCTTTCTTTCTTTCTTTCTGTGTCTTTCTCAGATACACACTTATAGACAAATGGCAAACCTAGTTTTTGGTGTGCGTTGAGCGTTGTGTGATATGTATGCCGACGCGTTGCGAAATACAATAGACATTATTTAAAATAAATGATTTGAACACTGCTTTCGTTAATTGAGGCAATTAATAAAAGAAAAAAAAAAGAATGAAACAATTAATTGTAAGTTTCTTAATTTCGTATTTCGCTTGAATTATGCTGAGCGTTATTTATTTCCGTATGTTTAACTGGTTCAAAGGATTTTTACTAATAATCCATGTCTTACAAGAACGAACTTGCTAGTTTTCTAGTAGCAATGACACCCTTACACACACACATACGCATGCGCGAATCTATCTATCTATCTATCTATCTATCTATCTATCTATCTATCTATCTATCTATCTATCTATCTATTAAGGTTAACTTTGTCGGCAATGCCGGATTTACTATTGAGGCAGGAGTAAATGGCAATATCATCTGCGTAGATGCCTACTTGAGAACTGATGACACCAGGAAGATCATTGATGAAAATCACAAACAAAACAGTTTAGTATGGTGGGCGTTAAAGTCACCGAACACGAATATGTTTGCAAACGGATATAGTGAGGTGGCCTTCTCTATATTATCGGAATTGAGTACACCACAGTCTTGAGAGGAAGGTGAACGATAGAGAAAGAAGAGCTATCTTACTGAATTGAGGAGAGATAGACGGAGACACATATACGAATGGTCTGGAGATTTCATAGAGAGTTCTCTAGCCAGCGGGAGATGATCGGGGACAAAAACTCTCAGGATATGCATGTGGATTTTAGAGTCCTTTATAAGGAGAGTGAGATAGCCAGGAATACCTTCACCACTTTCTTTTCATAGGAAAGTTAATTCTGTATACAAGGAAATTATTATGGGATTTCCTTTTGATGAGTAGTGTTCTCTCAAAATTTGCAGTGCTTTTCTGTAACTGTCATGGGCTTCTCGCTTAATAAGAGAAAGACTTCGGTCATCGAGTATCTCTCTTAATTCGGCAAGGACGTTTTCAATCCTTTAGATAGATAGATAGATAGATAGATAAAGTGAGAGCGAGATGGAGAACTCATAGATTCCAACATATGTTACCTCTCTCCCTATGTACAGAGTGTACATGGATGTACAAATGTCTTTAAAAACCAAAAGGAAGTTTTATGTTTTCATAACCTAGAGATTTTTTACGGTTGACAATAACTCTCCCCAAACGCAAAGTAACATATGTTTCTGGCCCACAAAGCATAATATCTTAATTTCATCTGTTCAATAAGGCATGAACTGAAAAAATATTGTGAAATCCTGTATTATAGACGTACAAACCTAAATATTAATGCTTTCAGGATAGAAACATAATATATATATATATTAGTTGATGTCAATAGCCATAATTTTACCACTTCTCTTTACAAAGAAACTCGTGTTTACTTAACTACAAAGTGAATATCTCACAGCTACAGAATAGCTTTTTTTTGTTATCGAGCCAAAGTAATCTCTGCTTCGGACATATTATTCTATGAGGAACTTAGCAACATTAAACAAATACTAATCAACAATATGTCTGAATCCTGGACGTTTTAAATAGTATAGCTATTATAAAAAAAAACATGATTTATCGAGCCAAAGTAATCTTTTATTATTCTATAAAAAAAAATTAGAAACATTAAACAAATCCCAATCCATAATGATTTTCTAACCACGTCGTCATCGAACAAATAAAGCCTAACGAAATTCAGAAAAAATTACGTCAGACACTTCCCTGACACAAACAAACACAAATAGACCATTAACTTATTCTATCATAACCAAATGCACTTTAATTATAAGCAGGATGTAAAAGCAATTAAAAACATAATTCACAAGGTACATATCACTCAATCATCCTAACAAACATCTAAGATTTATCATTTACTACCTTAAACTTAAAACATCTTAATTATTACCAACAACACTAGGCCTTATAAATCCTCCCTATGTAAAAAATAAGGTTGCCTATGAATTCTCCTGCCTCCCCATCAGGAGAATGCATCTCCAATGCTAATAATGAAAAACAACATTAAATACTTACGATGGTCACATATGCACCACACTCTCTCGAAGATTGACCTGTCACCTGTCGAAATTTTGTGTAATCCGTGCATACATCGACCAGCACATCATGAATGACTATAATACAATTATTGACATAAGCCAAATACTAGTAGATAGCACCAAAATACTATACAACATCCAATCCAAGGAAAGACTTAAAATTCTTGAAACTATTATTATATAAAATAAACAGCCGACGTTAAATAAAATATAATTCCCAAGAGAATGTATCTTGAAGTGCATATGATATAATTAATGTGTGCACGTATTTTATAATAATAATAATAATAATAATAATAAAATAACAAGGACAGATGGACCAGTGGAAAAAAGCGTTGAAGTAACCCGGTGACTTGACGCAAAGAGTGGTGAGTTCAATACCTGGCCACAGCAGATCGGAGATTTGAGTTACTAAAGGGAAATAACTGAGATATCCAGAAAAGGCATGGCATGTGGAAGTAGAACAATCTACCCCGGTCGACGAGATAAAGGGTTCGGTTCGAAATTCCAACGTATATCAGCTGAAGAATGCCGGAGCGTATAATGGCCGAAACGTGGTGAATATCTCAATGAAGATGAGGACAATAGTCAGAACAGTGTAAATAGTTACAATACCTCATCTCAGAAATATAGACAAAAAATAAAATAAATAAATCGTATTATTTTAGTTCGACTTCGTTCCCAATAGCCACTATACATGCCAGACCATTTCAAGGTCCATCTTCCGAAAGAATACCAAGATATAGACAAAGGAATTATAACTACCACACAGTGTTGTATAGCCCCTTCGTGCTGGGGGTAGTCTTGGGACGACGGTCTTGAGGCGATCATAATAGTCTTCGTCTCTTTCTTTTTCCTCGGTCGGGTGATCGCTAGTCGTTCGGAGGTAAAATGAGAACTTCAACAAAATGGATTTTTAAACTTATATATTTTATTAAACACGTCGACGTGTACATTTTTAACTAGCCAGTGGGATCGCTCTATCAGCCCTACTGAGGAGAAAGTTCCCCAAAATACGAAATAACCACGTCTAATCTCTTCGACGTGTTAAACTTAGCTTTCTATCTCTCTAACATTCCTACGCTAGTTTTAACCAATCAAAAAAGACTTCCTTTGTTTTGTCTACCATCTGATCTTATGGTCAAAATGAGGAAATCAGAGGAAAATACAATTCTTTAAAAAAACAATAGTCTGCTACACTAGTATTTAACAACAAATACCATCTTATCCGAAAATTGGAAAAATACAGTAAAAAATTTTACAGACTGAGCTTGTTCGTTCTTTTCAAGCAAACTTATTTGGGTGAACACTTGCTGCCTAAATATACCTTATATATATATATATATATATATATATATATATATATATATAATTTACAAGATACCACAAGGAAAATTATGGTAGAAAAGACAAAAGTCTATGTAAATCAAATTACCGGAGACATCTCGCTGTAAGAGAGACCCTCTATATAAAACATCTTGCTCCCATTATCAACGTCACTTTATTCAACAGTGGTAACGGTGTTTTAATTTTTTTTTTTAAATCTTTTTACAAACAATAGAAATACGCTCACTTAAAATTCAACCGCGCTCAACACCCGGAGGCTCGGAATAAACGCTTCTACTAGTATTTAAAACAACACAAAAACACATCTTATACAGTCAACCATGAAGGTCAATTAACGACACCCCAAAAACAACCCCTTTGGAAATGGCTAAAAACGTGACAGAAAGTTCTTTGGACAATAGACAGTACGGACAATTTTTGCACTCCCTTACTCGCACCAAACAAAAAAAATGTAAGAATGCTGGCAAAACGAAACAAAAAATTGATTAAATTGTCCTTATCTGTCATATTCAACGAAACATATTTAAACGGAAGGTTGCTATTCAAATATAGGATTAAGAGAAATTAAATTTATCACTTAACTGATTATTCTTATATTCAGCACCTAAACAGTTAATGGATTTTTAAATCAAACATTAATTTGTACAACTGAACGTTATATTTAGTGGCAACACTTATTCGAATTGACATTCTTGTTTTTCTTTTTATATAAAAAGTGAAATTAATTGTATACTAGAGATGGAAAGGTTTATTAACGACTTTGTGAAAAAGCGTAAAATCTTCAATATGACTTTCGATATGTAGGCCGATTTATACAGCTTTAAAAAGTTGTTTCAACTCAAACACGTCTACCCACTAAATATAATTTTTTGTCACAAGAAATACATATTTTATTACACACACACACACACACACGCGCGCGCAATATATATATATATATATATATATATATATATATATATATATATATATATATATATATATATATATATATATATATAAACTTTTGCTATACTTATAGGGGAAGAATTCACAATGCCGGGAATAGAGACTATGTAGTTATCAACACTGTAGGCATAGAAATCAAAATTGCATATTGTTTGTCTGATTATCGATTAAAGCGTGCAAATGTCTGTCATCATACAGTGTTGATTTCTATCTTCACACGCATACACACACACACAATATATATATATATATATATATATATTCACGCACACACACATATATATATATATATAAGCTATTACTACCCCGCCACCTCAAAAAATGTCCGCTATTCGATGGATTAAAAATATTCTAAAAATAGAATTTAAAAATTTGGAAATATATTTATTAACCGAGAAAAAAAAGGGGAAATATATTTATTAACCGAGAAACTTCTGAGTTTAGTAAATCTAACTTAACTTCTTGTGATCCGATTTTTCCCCATAAATAGTGCAACGTACATTAATAATTTCAGTTTTTAGTATAAACCAACCGGGAATATAGACAAATCTGAACTCTCAAACTAATTTTCGCATGCTCAAACTAACTTATTTATTGAGTTCTAAATAATTCTCACTTTTAAGGTAATTCATACAACACGAAAAACATACGAGCGATATATATAAACAAAGTGAATTGTAGCAGTAGTATAAATAAGGTTAACTCATAACTTTGCTTACGGCTGTAATCACAAAACACTTTAACACGCATACATAAAATATCGTGAATACGAAATTTTCGCATAGTCACATACATCATTTTATACAGTGTTACCCGGATATAAGAGAGTTGTCGGAACCGGAGAAGAAGTCTCTTATATCCGGGTTTCTCTTATATCCAGGTTTGATCTATTTTATATACTTTAACACAGGCTCTAATTTGGGACCAGAGAAAATCTTTCTTATATCCGGGTTTCTCTTATATCCGGGTCTCTTATATCCGGGTTACACTGTATACGCAATTCATTTCTTTCG